CCCCCCCAGTGAAGGTAGCTGCAGAGACAAGCTTTTATAACTTGTCTCTGCAGCTACCTTAATTTAAAAATGGAGTGGACAGAACCTGAACCTCTGTTGGATGTTTCAGTAGTGTCATGTTGACTGTTGCTTAAATCCCTGAGCCTATTGAACAGCATTGATTCAGGTTCATATGAATTTTCTCTTGTCCCATTGTTTGATATGAAAGGTGGGAAACTGTACATTGAATTAAGACCCTTTAAATCAGTCTGCATTTATTTACATGTCAGACATTCATCCTTTTATTGGCTGTTTATAGTAATGCTGTTGGTTCTCGCTCTTTAGAAGGCACTCATAAATCCACAATGAACCTGTGTATAGGTCTTGTTCAGATGCTTTTTTTCTTTCTCACTCTAAGCTTTCCCATTAAAACACAATAGATCTCTTTCTGCAGACAGTCTATTAGTCCAAGAGTGCTTTTAGACCCTAAATGTTTACCACTCTGCTTAGTCTCCATTGATGAACTGTGTTTTAGGTTTGCATACGAGTGCAGCTAAAGGGAGCAGGTGGCTGCATATAATAGAAAGAAATGGGTTTGACTAAAGTAATGGGTCTAAAAGTCTACAAGTGTGATGACAGTTCTCAGCAGCGCTGACAGGAAAATAAAGCAAATAGCTGAGTTATGATAATTAGAAAACAAAATGTTGGGCTACGATAGAAGCATCATTTCTCTGACTATAATGACTTTCCTTCAGGTTGCTCTGCACCAACTTGTTGAGCTACTCCTGAGTGTGGAGGAGCCTTTGTAACCAGTGCTGTTAAAGGTCCAATCATTAACCCTGCCACATTGAGAGATTGTTACGCAGGTCAGGCTTGAGGGAAGCCAACACACGGCAGCCTATCAAACACCACTATACTCACCATCCAAATGATCTTTGCTTTGTGTTGATGGCAGGAGTTGTGGGTTGCCTCTTGTTTCTGAATGACCTCCCTGAAAGATGACAATGTCTCACTCATTGCTCATGTCTCGCGCCTCATCTACACCGCGTCGGTTCTTTGGGTTTGGAGCTGAATGGCTGTCATTTCAGCTTTAGTCCGGGGAAAATGATGCCCGCAGCGTAGCGGAACATTGCAGCTACGTCACAAATGGCCAAAAAGAAAAATTGAAAAATTGTGTGCATTTGGGACGCCATGTTGCCAGGTGGCTTCCCTGCTTCTGGTGGAGGATATTAGAACATGACAGTGAAGAGATGGATAACATTTGTCTGGATGGGCCTCTGCTAATGGCCAGGTTGAAATATCATATTGAACTCATTTGTATTCTTGAAAACAAATTTGCTTGTTTGTCATGAAATCATATTTGTTATCTCTTCGCAGATGGCAATATTTTGAAGGTAATTGATGGAGCACATTTGGATTGTGTGGTAAAAACACATCCTTCCCTGAATTGTGCAATGCACCTCCTTCCTGAGAATGCTCTGGTTTCGGGAAAGGAAAACATACCTGGGCTCATCCCTTCTCCAACAGGTACGCTTTTCACACTTGCTCTGAGACCTCAGTTTAATAAACAAACACTGATGGTTCTGTGATGTTTTTTAAATGTCCTTTTGCTAAATAATTACAAATGTTGAAATGAAAGACATTAAAATTGACTTTTATTTGTTTCAAATTCAATTCTATTCAGTTTATTTATATAGCACCACAACACATGTCATCTCAAGGAACTTTACAGAGACAATTCAACCAGATCATGCAGTCAGATTGGTTCAAAGTTTTCTATCTAAGGAAAACCAGTTGATTACAAGACAAATTGACCTGAAGGTAATCTCACACCAGGCATGCTTGTAGCGACAGTGGAGAGGCAAACTCCAGAACCATCTGCCGCTCACACTTAGAGCTAATGTGTTCTCGCACAGATCATGGTTTTCAACATCTATTTGAGAACAGATTCTTTCTCCAAATATAAGCCCTGACTTTCCATTGAGATTTCAGCTGTTTTTTGTTTCTTTTTTTAATATCATTTACCATAGAGCAGAACAGTACATTAAAGCATATCGTTTCACTTGTCACTATGAGCAATGTTTCAACCAGAAAGTACTGACTGGTTTCAATATTCTGTTGGCTAATAGATGTAACATTCCATCCTTCTAAACCTTGCTAACTATGTGTGGACTCAGACTATTCTGTGGTGCAAATTCTATGATGATTGCAGAAAATAAGGATGTAGTGAGAAGATCTGAATGAATGTGACTGCTTCATAGTTATTCTCATTATTTGTTTAACAGCCATCTCTGTCTGCACCAGGAATAAATCTTCCTACTTGGCATTGATCTGAGTTTTATCGCTTTCTGGTTACCTTTTTTAAAACACCATGATTTAAAAGCATTTATCAAAAAAATGTCTGAGGATGTTATTCCTAGTGTAAAATAATAAAAAGCAGTTATTCTTAATGCTGCTGAAACAGTGAAATTAATCATTTTGCTTTTTAGCCTTTTGATGAGGATAACAAGCTGATATTAGCTGGTTTTAATTAGTTGAGTTCTCAGCCTGCATAGCCAGCCTGCATTCTCCTGTTGGCTTGGTAAGTTTGGTTTTTAGATATTGTTCACTTATTGACTGTGAATTTAGTTTTCACATTACAACCGTCTGTGTTTTTTTGCTATCAGACATTCAGTATTAACAAACAACCCAATATGTTAAAAGAATGTAGTGCATTTCTTTCAGCCAGCTTTTCTTTTTTCTGTTTTTCACAAATCTTATTTAAAGTACAGATAGTCTGACACTTTTGCTGGATTGTTGTTACAAGTATAGGAATGGTAAAACAGATCATTTTAGTGGCTTTTATTGCTTTTTGCAATCCTTTGTATTTGCCAATATGCCAGTTACTGGTCCTTCCTTTCTCCCCACTACTCCAGAATAAATGCTTTTTGAAATGTGCTGAATCTAAGCTTCACTACAGCTGCCTTCTATTATAACACATAGAAATGTGTGGCAATGATTGTCCTATGATCTGAAACATCAATCCGCTCGCATCACAAGAAGGGAACGTTTTACCTGGACCTCCCGGAAAGACTTTTTGGTCCAATTAAATATTCCCATATTTGCTCGCCTCACCAAAAAAAAGGATTGCTAATAGCCTTCATTAATGCAGTTTCTAATGGCTTTGGAAAAACTTTTCAACCTGCAGTCTAGTGGCAAGTGGACACTGCTGTCCTGCAATAACACTTGGATATCAAAGTTCTGCATTAGCACAAGTAATGAAGAGTTGGTTAAGGTAGTAAAACACTAGAGAGATTTGCAGTAACATTTAATTACATGGATCATCCAAAAAAATAACATAGTATTATTTTCTTATGTAAATATCTGTAAAAGGAGGTAATCTTAAATTTATGTGATTCTTAAAATAAATATCCATCCATCCCTCCATTTTCTAACAGGCTTATCCCGAGTGGGGTGCTGGTGCTTATCCCCAGCAGTCAATGGGCGAGAGGCGGGGTACACCCTGGACAGGTTGCCAGTCCATCGCAACACAGAGACAAACAACCATTCATGCACACACTCACATCTACGGGGACTGTAAAGAAGCCAATTAACCTAACAGTCATGTTTTTGGACTGTGGGAGGAAGCCGGAGTACCCGGAGAGAACCC